CTGGCCAAGGCCCTCCCTTCCTCAGAGACCACATTCGCATTTCTCGTCTCCAGGAAGAGCTACAGAGAGGAGCTTCTGGACGGAATGAACACCAGAAGGCAGTTTCAGGGAGTTCTGTGGATCTGTGTCGGCCCTCTTCTTCATCTCTGTCCTGACACGAATGTCCCAGCCACCGAGAATCCACAAGCTGAGCGTCTGTGGATGTCTATGGAGTGCCACTGTGCAAACTGTACTTTCCATGTCTGTAGCCGTCTAATTGCAAAGGAATGCACAAATACCGTATCCTGCCTTATAGGCCACTCACTCGTCTTCCAAGGTCTCTAGCTACCCTACCACTTCGACTCTCAGGGTAGAGTGAGATTTACATATGACTGTCTTTTTTTTTTTTTTTTTTTTTTCAAACGAGGCCTGTGTTAACTCAGCTGAATGAATGATACCAATCTCTACTTGTGGTTTTGTCAGGACTTCAGAAGCCAATGGTGAGGCAGACCACTGAAAGGTATACTTCCCAACCAATTCCGGTTACCTGGAGGCAGGGGAGGCATCGGTTGTACAACATAGAGTATCAGGGAAGAACGCTAAGAGGAGGCTAGACGGGGCAGAGGGGTGAAGAGTGGCAGGGTGAGAAGCCGGGGGAGCAGCTATTAACAAAGACGTTGATACACTGTGCTGTGACTGGCTTAGAAATGGGGCTCTCTGCAGAGAAATCATGCAGTGTGTCTCATGCTTTAATTCGCTCTTTATTCTTAATCTATTGCTACCTAACAAGCGATTAAAACCTTTGCAAATTAAAATAATACACACGTTATCTCAGTGGGTGTATGTAGGTCAGGAGTCCAGGTGTGGCTGAGCTGGGTCCTCTGCCTATGACCTCAGAGACTGCAATCAGGGTGTCAGTTGGGACAGGGACCTCACATGAGGCTTGATGGGGAAAGGGTCAAGGATCACTAAAGCTGTCAACAGGAGTCAGTTCCTTGCAGTGTAGGACTCATGGCTCTGTTCTTTCTTGGCTGTTGGCTCAAGGCTGCATTTAACTTCATGTTAGCATATAAGCAGGACAGCTAAGAGCATGGCAGTCATGATTTGGGAGCTGGTTAGTAGCCTAAAAGAAAAAGCCTGCTACAAACAAAAACCAAACATATTCAGGAGTACACCATCTCACTGAAGCATATGGTAAGCTAATGTAGAAGGAGAGGGAAAAATAAAGAAACTTCTTTCATTAATTGCTAATTTTACTTTTTCATTATGAAACATTTCAAAATTTCAAAAATTCTAAAGACAAATTTAAGGTATCTGATCTTTTCAGAAATAAAAATAATTCCTCCAGGCCCAGAAAGTGGCATCACAAAAAGTTAATGAAGACAAGATGTGCTCAGTCCGAGCCACTTCGCCTGTCTTATCTGTCCTTTTAAGCACACCTCACAGGGGGTTGGCAGGAAGTGGGAGGCTCTCTACCCGTGACAGTATAGACTTAGATCTGCGAAGCTCAGGAACCCCCAGATGAAGAATATTCGATAAAGCACCGAGTGCTGACATGCATGAAGAACGTTCTATTATAAACCCGTTTTCACTTCCTTGCAGCTTTCCAAAAAATTAGCCTTTTGTGGTGAAATTTTCCATGCTTAGTTTCAGCCCAAAGGTGATTATTTTGCAAAGTTCGAGAAAAATATATTAAATAGTTTTTGAGTTAAGAAAAGATGAAAAAAAAAAAAAGACCACATAAATTTTCCACTTTGAAAGCAGTTTCAGGATTTGCAAAAATATTCAGATAGCTAACAATAGCTGAAGTTGAAAAGTTGAAATCTTCCACGTGTCCAGTTTTCAACAAAGCAGTCTGAGTGATTCAGGGAAGACAGCACGTGTGCACACACGTAAACAAACACATTCAGGATCTGACAGGATTGCTCAGTGAGTAAAGGCACCTGCTGCCAAGGCTGATGACCCAAGTTCTACCCCTGTGACCCACACAGTGCAAGAGTGTGCTCACCCCTACAAGCTGACCTCTGACCTCCACATGTGTGCAGTGTGGGCATGTATGACCACACACATCTGCACATCCAGGCACACAGAATATATTAAAATGTAAAGAACATTTAAAAGACAAATATATACGGAGTCAGAGTCTAAGAAGTCACTGGAAGAACAGCCTTCTACTCTCAGACAAACTTCCCCTGAATAGATTTACCGTTCTCTAACACGCAAGTCTTTCACAAGTCAGAGTAGACATGGCTGACTATCTGATCACTGTGTTTTCTCACCCCAGGGCAATAGTGGGTCCCAGGGACACAAGTGTCCAATAACTACACTGCTCCTGTGGAATCCAGATCCTTCACTGTACTGTCCCATAGGCCCCCATCTCAGTTCTAAAAGTCTGATCCTGTTTGTAGTTCAATTTCTGCCCTTAGCCACGTCTCAATGCCAACTTATTTTACCTTCCGCCTCGACAACATTCGCACATGCTCTGATCCCTCCAAATTCTCCCCAAACTCCCTGCAGAGCAAACATTCACCCACTTCCCATCACAACTCCCCTTATGGCCTTGAAGAACTCAAGTATTGAAGAAACAACAGCAAACATCTTTACTGAAGTAAAAGGAGATGGAGAGATGGCTCAGTGGTTAGGAGTGCTAGCTGCTCTTGCAGAGGACCTGGACTGCATTTCCAGCAGGCAGGGCAGCTCACAAAGGACTGTAACTGGAGTCCCAGCAGATACGGCGCCCTCTTCTGGTCTCCCCTGGCAATACATGCATGTGGTATACAGATGCACAGGCAGGCAAAACACCGTATGCATAAAAATAAAAATGGGAAAATAAAATATATATATATGTTCCCTCGACCAGTTCCTTATTTCCTGTATTGCATTTTTCTCCTCATTGGTTGGCCTCTAGGTGAATATCTATCACTCAACATTCCGCAGCTTCCGTCTCTTATTTCACTAACGATGAACTCTCCAGGGTAACCTCCAATGTTAACTCCAGCAATTGATGCTTTCCACCTCCTTATCTCCTTAAGCAGCTGTCAGTTTACTTCAGCTACCCATTACTGTAGAGCGCTGCTCCCTCTCAGGACTCTGCAGGTGAGGAATTCCAGCAGGGCTCAGCTGGATGGCAGTGCGGCTCCCTGATCAGCTGGGCCACTGATGCAGCACTCAGTGGTCTAAAGGGATGCTTTGCCAAGTGCCTGGGGACCCCCTCATGTGGCCAGCCAGGCAATGCCAGAGCAGCTAGACCTTGAATATGGCAGCTGCCCACTGAGATGGAGGAAACAGAAGGTCCCAGACTTCTGAGGTCTGGACTTGGAAGTACCAGAACCTCAGGCCCGAGCACTGCAGTGACTTGTTGAAATAGGTCAGGTGCCCAGCCTCAATGCAAAGGGGAGAGGAAACGAACTCTACGTCTTGAGGGTGAATGACAGGGAGCCAGGGCTCTCCAGTCCTCCACACACTGCACCTCTGCTGACCTCCTTTCCCTTCTCACAGCTTCTGTGCTATACCAGTCTGGATGAATGATTTCCAAAACTTCTCCTTAACTCACAATTAGATATACATTCCAGACCGTAATCTGAGATAGCAGCACACACTTGTAATGAGAAACAAATGTCTCACAATAAATACCTATATTACAATAGAAATCCATGCTGTTCTAGTTTTTTATTTTCCCCTTGGTTTTTCGAGACAGGGTCTCTCTGTGTAGCTTTGCACCTTTCCTGGATCTCACTCTGTAGACCAGGCTGGCCTCGAACTCACAGAGATCCTCCTGGCTCTGCCTCCCGAGTGCTGGGATTAAAGGCATGCGCCACCACTGCCCGGCATGTTCTAGTGTTTTTAAAAGTGCTGTTTTGTCATTCACAAATGATTTTTTTCTCTCTGGAGAGCTTTAGACATCCCACACTCATGGGTCAAACACTGGTCATGTGACTTGCCCTGGACTGTGAGGAAGTAGGGTTACCTTCAGGAGACTTTAAAATGCAGCTCACCCCTTTCTATTCTCTCTAGGAAGCCAGAACATGTCAGACAGGGGCTACACGATGAGTCTGGATTCTGGAGTAAGACTGTCCAGAAAGAACTACACAGAGACAGCCTATCCTCAGAGGACTTGTATTACAGGCAAGAAACAAGCCTTTTTCCTCAGGCTTGTGCCCTGTGTGCCTGTTCAGCTGTGGCACAGCCTAGAGTCTTACCCATCCACGCTGGCAACCTACCGCAACCTCACAGGGTACACCGGTGGACTGTGGGTGATAGTCTGGAACACAAGTGTATTTTCTGCATCTTTCACTCTTTCTTCCTTCACAGCAAATGAATCAATTCCTCCAGTATACATACATCTATGGCCCCTTTATTGTAATCTCCACTGGGAATTATGCCTTTTATACTGCATTTCGTGGTGCTAACTTGGACCATTTATTACCTGGTTGTTTACTTTTTAGTATACTTTCCTCTTTGCTTCATTTTCTTCACTGAGAAATGAGTTTACTGCATGTCTGACATGATCCATGATCCTTCAGTGGCTTCTAGCCAAGCTATATTTGTCTGCCCCCAACTATTAGCCCAGGATCTGACCTCTGACAATCTCTTTAGATATATCACACGGCAACCCCAATGAACATGGTACCTGCTATTACTGTCTTCAGGGGCCCAGTGACAAAAGCGAATTCTTTCTTTTCCACAGTGCTTCACTGCATAGAGTGCACAGTGACTCCCACTCTCTGTCTTCTGGAACGTATACTTATAGAAGCCTGTGCAAATATCCTGGCTGTGAAGAAGTGCTCTGTTCAGAAACTCTGGCCAATGAAGCTGGTTTTGATCTTCTGAGCTGGAAGAAGGGTCTGCTCTCAACACACCCAGAACCTCTAGTTCTTCCCTACTTTACTTCTGCTTCTTATCACTAGATCTGGGGACAGGGCTCTGGCCATAGCTCCTACGACAGGAGTCATCTCCTCTTCCCTCCCTGAGGCTAGCATAACTACTGAACAGCGCACAGCAGAGCTACAGGCGGTTCTCACGGCACGGCTGACTTGTCGGGGCCGGGAAGGCACCGTATAGCGCAGATCATCACAGGGAGTCTGGACAGCTTCACAGCTGGCAGAATATCTGAGTTTATTCGGTTCTGTTATGGAGGAGATGCACTCCTGAATCGACAAGTTCAATATCTTAACTTGCATCCCAACTCTCAGCGAAGGTTTTCAAGCTGCTCAGTCACAGACATACATTTTAAGTCTAAAATTCAGACTGTGTGATACACTCAAAGAAAGAAACAGGAGCCCAGTGTGGTGGCTCACCCCGTAATCACCCCTGGAGAGGATCAAGCAGGAGGACTGCCTGGGTTACCTAAGGCCAAGGCTAGCAAGCCAGACCCTGTCAGAACAAAAATCAAAACACCCTGAAAAGAAAGACAAACAGAAACCAAAACAAGAAGAAGGAGGAGGAGGAGGAGGAGGAGGAGGAGGAGGAGGAGGAGGAGGAGGAGGAGGAGGAGGAGGAGAAGAAGAAGAAGAAGAAGAAGAAGAAGAAGAAGAAGAAGAAGAAGAAGAAGAAGAAGAAGAAAGGCTCTGAGCTCTCACAGCACCCATACACTTCCTTTGGTCAGTTTTACTCTGGTGTCTTTAGGAAAACACTGTTTGTCTTTACACATGGCATAACATGGCTGTCAGTTTCTTCTGCCCACAGTAGAGAGCAGGAACAATGGGTTTTAGGGAGAGAAATGGCTCCTAACATTAGGGGAGATGATGGAAAAACTATAACATAGACAGACAACACATTCCTGAAAACAATGCAAAATGTTCCTTAAACATGTTCAGGGTACAAGCAAAATCTCTGGACTACATTGTATTACAGCACAGCACCATGAGGATGACAGTTACTATTCCTGCTCTGAATCTACAAGGATTCTAAAAGTCGTCTCTGGTCCACAGACTGTGCTAAAGAAAACGAAGTAACCAACACATATGGACAAGGCTTTGCTGGGCCTGGACAAGCCTGCTTCACATTACCAAGTTTAAGCTATCTAGCAGTAACGGAAGACACTTATGTTCAGAAAAAGCAAGCTCTCTGCTACTGTGCATCTTCCCTAGGGAATGCCAATACCACAAGACAAATCCGTGACGGTCTGCTACCTCCCAGAGATGTTATCACCAAATGTGAAGCTTCTGAAATCACCTCACAATTCAGTCCACAGCCAGGTAGGTCCTAATCCTGACTTCCCGGACATGGCCAATGGGAAGGCTCCTTCTTGACATGCAGAGGGCTGATGCTGAGAAAGCAGGTTCTGGGTAACAGGGGAAGACTGCTACTCCTCACTGCTAGAGCACCTGCAGGTCTGCAACCCCTTCAGCTGACAGAAATGCAGGCATGCACACTGCAGGCACGCACCACAGTCTATCACCAAAGGACCATCAGACACCTTCCCAGACCCTCTTTATAAACACTGCTAACACAAGTGCATCCCACTTCAAGATTCAGCTCCAGATGAGGCAGAATCCTGATGAGGCCCCTTTCTCTTCCTTCTCAGTATAAAACAAAGATGACTGTTAATTTACTTCATCTCAGTTTGAACACCACGGGTCTAAAAACAATTCTGTTTATCATCCTAAGTCAGGGCAGCCACTACTTACCAGTCTTCCAATTAACTTGTTTAGAGAAAAAAAGATCCCTGTTCTGGATATTACTTTCCAAATATCTAACAACTTCTATTTCTATACTTTTATACATCAAACTTAATTGAAGAGGGAAACAAATAAAATATTGTAATTTCAGATTTTAAAAGGGGCAATTATGTTGTACTGAACAAAACTACAGGTCAGACAATATGTCTGCCATTATGCAATAAGTCTCTTCAAATGAGTTAAGAACAAAGCCGTCAATAATTACCCAAAGATACTGCAAAGAGCTGAACCAAAGGAGACCAAACCAACCAGCCAGTAAACTGCAAATGTACCCTCAAAATCTTATGGAAGTCAAAAATTCCAGTAAAAGTAACAGGAGAGATGGAAACACAAGTTTCTTATTATCACACTTCATATGTTATAAAACAGAACAGCTAACTTCGTTTTGGCAAAGTGATTAGGGATTGCAACACTCTGGCTTCCACAGACTCCCTTGATTGTCAAATGCATCTCCAATGGAGCATGTCATGTTCACTCCGGGCATGCAGGCACTGTGCTGTCTTAGAGACACTGAAATTTCAACACTTCAGCATGGATCACACCACCAGATTAACAGGCCCAGGTGTTTAATGGTTGAGAGGCGGGATGCAGGGGTGGAGAATTTCAACAATGCAGATAATTGAAACCAGATAAACCTTTTAAGATTTACTTATTTGTATGAGTGTTTTGCCTGCATGTATGTGCATATACCATGCACATGACTGGTGCCTGCAAAGGTCAGGAGAAGACGTCAGATCCCCTGGATCTAGAGTTACAGATGGTTGGGAGCTACCATGTGGGTTCTGGGAATTGAACCCAAATCCTCTGCAAGAGCTACAAACATTCTTAATGCTGAGCCATCTCTCTAGCCTCAGATAAAGCAACTGAATAATGAAAACACAAAATTGTACAGGTGACTTCTTTACCTCCCCAATGGTGCCTTGTATGTACAGTCATACACATTTTTCTAGTATAGACACTCGTGTCTTTGTGTGCCTCCTTCTGCGTGTATGTGGTATGGGTATGTGTTTCTATGGGCATGTATGTGTGTGCATGTGTATGCATGTACATGAGGAGGGCAGAGGTTAATGCTGGTGTCTTTCCCAACTCTGCTCCATCTTAGATTCGGAGACACTGTCACTGAGTTTGGAGTTCACTGACATGTTGAGGTTGGCAGATTAGTAAGCTCCCAAGATCTACTTTCTCTGCTCCCAGTTCACACCTGGCTTTTATGTAGGCCCAGGATATCCAAACTCAGGTCCTCATGCCTTAGAGCAGGGACTTTACTCACAGAGCCAGCTCTCCAGCCCCATGAAAGAGGAAGAAATACAGTTTCTCAGCTCTCTGAAACTCTAATCTAATCTACCTTTACACATGGATTATGTGATGCTCCTGTTTCTCCTCTTCCCCTCTGTCCATCCTTTCCCACCCCCCATCTTAATCCAAGTGTTCACAGGAGACTGCTGCTCTGGGAACAAACATGACTATTACCTTGTGAAAGGCTCCACAGTCTGGGACCTAGTAAAGCTGTGATCAGATTTCTGTCCAGAAACGGAGATACTAAATGTGCACCACTTTACACTACTAGTCTGGGGCAATTTAATACACAGCAGTGGGTAACCAATTCAGTAGTTAGCCTAATGATTGGGAGGAGTCTAGTGCTATTTCCATAACAACAATAATAGGTAGTACTTGCTTAGAATTATAAAATCCCAGGCAACCTCTTAATATTTTGCATAATTCCTCACAAAATCCTTGAAGAACACATAATTCTTTCTATTTGTTGATGGAAAAACTCAATGACTTGTCCAAGTCCACACAAACAAAAAATATTTGAGCCTAAGGGACCATCGAGAGCCAGCGCTCACAGGGACCATGTGGATAGAAGCACTCACATGTCCAATGGGCATGAGCAGATGGCAGCCGCATGTAGTGTGAGAGGGATTCAAGGACAGAACAAAGACTGTAAATCACATCAAGGCTGACATCAAAAGTAAAGCGGCTTCTGAATAAAATGCCTTATGAAGGGAAAAAACTACCACAATTGAGGAGAAGTAAGAGTTCAACAGAGTATGATCTTCAATTTATTGAGTTCACACTTAGACATAAAAATGTATTTTCTTATATCCAAAGGAGAAAATGAAAATCTATTTGGTACTAAAAGCCGGGAGGCTATAGTTGCACTCTCTCCAAGTGCTGGTTTGAGTGCTGAATGAAGCAAGCTGGCAGGAAAGGAGGCAAATTCCTAGTGGGATCCAAGACCCTGCTGGAGATATTTTCTCACATGGAGTGAAAAAATGCAGGGACAGGGCTGCTGAGAAGGCATCTCTTCCTCTGGCTTAGCTGTCTCATCCACGAGACTCCAGGCTCTTAGCTCAGAAACATGCCTTGTCCCCTGGGGTGTCCTCAAGATGGCACAAAAGTGATTTTATACCCATGCGAGCCAAATGAAGACATCAATTATTTAGTAAACTGTACCCACTCAATGGGTCATTTCATGATCCATGAGTTAAAGCACACTTTTAAGAGTCTTAAAGTGTTCACTCCCTTTGGGGGCACTTTAAGTTGGCCTTTGTGACTTCAGTGCCTCAATATATAGTACATGGTTGCACTTAAGAGCCAGTTGTCTGAGGCTGTGGGTGTAGCTCAGTGGAAGAGGCTTTCCCATCATGCACTGGGTCCTGAATCCATCCCCAGCATCATAACAACAAGCATAAAGACAGACAAATAAACAAAGTATTTGTGAATGAAAGGATGTACACGTGTCTCAAAAGGGCTAGCAAACTACAGAACAGAAAAGAATCTAAACTTATGATCACTTTGCATGTTCCACAAAGACAGGCATTTGTCTGTCAATGATGATGAAGACGATAACACATCATTTTGCTTCTTAAAAGAGATAGGAATAGTTTGTTACTTCAATTTTTGGGACCATCTGCATTCAGTGCCTGTGGAGGCCAGAGAGGGCATAGGATCCCTGACACTGTAGTATAGTCTGTTGAGAGCCACCATGTGGGTGCTGGGCATCACACATCACATCCTCTAGAAGAGCAATCAGTGCTTTTAACCACTGAGCCATCTCTCCAGCCCATGGATATTTTCAAAACACTCTTTCAATAAAGACAGAGTCCTTTCCATGCCACTGTTAGTAACTGTTCTTAAATATTGTTTCATAAAAGAGAGCAAGATAAATGTAACACTCCAACTCCAGAGAAGCCTAGATTCAAAGACATTCATTTGGAAAAATCTCTATCTTTCCACCATTATTCACTGGGACATTATGGGAATTTCTTAAGCACAGGTCTTTGGCAATAAAGAGACAAAGAGAAAGACAGCCACCGTGCATCCCTCCCTCTGCTCTACAAAAAAGCTAAGGGAAGATGAGGGTTTGGCAAGCGCACAATCAGGCACCCACAGTCACCGTCTAAGGCATACTTACAGACAGCTCAGGAGCATGCTTCATGACCCGAAGGGAAATGCAGCTGCCTATGGAATGGCCAATGAGTATAATCTTCACATCCTTTGGCACGTGAGCTCTCAGGAAGGCTATTTTGTGTTCTATTTGACCATTCAGACCATAGATGTCCTCAATTTCTTGAGCAATTGGCTCTAAAAGCAAAAGTATGAACATATTTTATTGAATAGGTAAACAAGTTTATCAAAGTAGAAAAAGTATCTACAAAAATGCCCAGACTCAAAGAAGTAACTTAGTGTTAAGCACTTACCATTTGTCCTAAGCCTGTAATACACTAGCTGCAGTATTAGACACTTAAATTACAGAAATCAGCCCTTACCGCACAATTGGAGAAGAAGCATTATGTGAAACATCACAACTCACAGACATTGTGTAAAGACTGACTGCTGTAGACCCATGAAGCAGGGGAGCTGAGATTCAAATGCAGGTCTGTCCTCAAAGCCCATGAACTTTGAACTATTCCACGAACCACTGTTAGTTTAGGCCAGCAGTTCTCAAGCTTGATCATGTAAGGTCTGTAAAAGATGGCTGGAACCTGACACCAGAGTTTCTGACATAGTAAGTCTGGGTAGAGGTCCAAGAGTTTTCCTTTCTAAGTTTCCAGGAGATGTACACATGCTGAGTCTAGGATTACACACTGGGAACCCCTGGATTAAGCTGACTCATATCCAGTGAACTAAGAAAACACATGCTACTGCTTGACTTTGTTGAATAATCTGTGTATATTTAAAGAACTTAAAGACTTAAGTAGAAACCTCAATGTCAACTCATACAGTCGTGACCTGAAATGACCTGAAGATACACCCACCAACTGACAGTTCTCACTGGCTTAATTCAATTGAGGCAAACTCCTGGGCTACTGTATTCAGCATTAAAGTAGGAAAGAATTGATTCTCTCAGTCATAATGTGCCAATGTTCACTTGTTTTGAAGTTAACGAATTTTGACCATAATGAAAACAAAGCATTTTAAGTTATAATATTCTTTTCCAATTTTAAATTATAAAACAGAAAATTTTAAACATTTTACTTAGCTTCTGTATTATCTAAATTTTACCTAAGAGGCACATACAATTAATTTGAAAAATACAAAATCTTTTTTCTAAAAAAATGAATAAAATCATGTATTAGTCACTGGACTTAAGAGATGATCTATAAAATATAAAGTTATAAACAAGATAAATTGATATTATTTATCTACCTACAACACTTACCAAAAGCTAGATGAATGTATTAATCTTCAGAGAGTATTAAGAAGAGTTCACATACATAATCATAACCACAATCATTTTAAAACAGATAACAACTATAGCTGATATAATGGAGGGTGGCCAGAGTACATAGTTAAAAAGAAATATCACCAAAACTAGCCTTGACTATCATGTAGATCATTCACGGCATACAGGTTTGTATATTGAAATCTGTATATTAATATCTAAAAGAATCAGGAATATACAATCATAAAGAAAACAAAGGTAAATGCTACTGTATCTTTAAAACAGAGAAAGAGGCCTGTGGGAACCAGGAGTGAAACAAGCAATAAGGCTCCTGTCTCCTCACAGTAGGAGACTTGAGCTTGACATCTGTAGGGAATTTAAATTATGGACTTCCTCTCACTTATAAAAGCTTTAGGTAAGTAAACATGCTAGAATTCTTATGGGTAAAAAGCAGGTAGCTTGCAATGCTACAGTAACATTTCTTTCCCTCATAAACCATCTAGCACATTACCACACAGAAGCCCAGCTCTCCTTTCTCAAGCTAGCTCCACACAGCAGCAACATACCTCCTGACCCTCATTTCCTTCCATACTACTCTGTCAATTACATGACTACTCATGTCCCCCGCCACATCCCAAACCCATCCATGCATCAAAACCTCCTTCTATGATCTAATGATCATATCCCCCTTTACCTACAGATGTAGTGGTATTAGAGTGTATCCTTTGTGGGGGAGTACTCTTACAGGGCTACTGCCCATAAGGGGATCTCAAGAGCTTGGTTCTCTTCCCACTATGACAAGGTGCACAGAGAATGCCTCCATGAAGCAGGCAGTGGAATCTCCTTCCTAGGTATCCATTACCCAGTGTCTTCACCTTGGCCTAAGCTGCCTTGAGAAATTTTGACACATGGGCTGGGTATGTGGTTAGCGGTGGAGTACTTTCCCAGCACCACACAATTCCTGGTGCAATTCCCAAGCCTATACCCTCTCCACCCAAAAGCAGGAAATTATGAGAAATAAATTTGTAAGTTTTCTAGTCAATGGTATTGTGCCACACCAGCTCAAACTATGACATCAATTACTCCACCACGTCTTCTCTGACCTCTACTGTGGGTTTCATGAAACCAGCAAGGCATTCTGTCATGTCGTCATTCTTTGCACAGGACGGAGAATGTATCTCTGAAGATCTTAGCTTCTAAATGTCTTATACTTTTCCTCCAGCCTTTCTTCTAGTAGACTTTGGAAGTATATTGTCAATAAATATATGGCTGGTCACTAATTAGGAAGTAAAGAAGTTGATTCATACTTAAATTGTTGATCTGCTCAAATTCTTAAGAATATTATCTGCAAAAGACAAACTATCTCTGAAATTATTAAAATGTGGTACCCGGTGTCTAAAATCACAAAACAGAGGTGATCACTTGTAAAATGTGAATGCTAACAGGCTTTCTGGAAACAAGAAGACCCATTTGTTGTCAATCAAAAAGGTGTTAAAAAGGACATACTATCTGGTGCTGTAAGAATTTTATCTTTGGGAACCAAGGTAAACCCAGCATGAGAGATCATCCACACTGAAAGGAGAGAAGTAAAGTAGTATTAAAGAAAAAGAATAAGCCATGCAGAGATGGGAAATACACAGGGAATCTGGATCCTGTATGTTGCTGTACTGACCTTGAATTTTTTGATTGCTGATAAGCAAAGAACAGCTGCTAAGAGACATGGGATTGAAAGAGGGACTGATGAAATAAATTAGCCTAGATATTTTAAGAAAGACTTTACTTTTAAATGGGAGTCAAAAAATGTATTGCTTTGGAGAAGTTTTGCTTTTGTTTTCACAGGAAACAAGAGGCTGTGGATTCCTTCAGGGCTGATGTGGATCAGGTTTGATCAGGGAAGACCTCCTGAAACTTGACAGGTGATTTCTATCAACAAAGGTTATAACTGGTCTTCTCAAGACTTAGATATTGTCTCAATTTTCTCGGGGACCCCTAAAGATGCCTTTGCCCACAGACAACAGGAAGCAATCTAGAGAACGACACCCACATTCCCAAGTGGTGGGGTGTGGATGGGTGGTGGTTATTTGGTGGGTTATGGATGTTTGTTATCACTTAGGGGAATATAATTATACAGGATAAAAAGACAACTACTGGCCGGGCGGTGGTGGCTCACGCCTTTAATCCCAGCACTCGGGCGGCAGAGGCAGGCGGATCTCTGTGAGTTCAAGGCCAGCCCGGTCTCCAAAGCGAGTTCCAGGAAAGGCGCAAAACTACACAGAGAAACCCTGTCTCGAAAAACCAAAAAAAAAAAAAAAAAAAAAAAAAAGACAACTACTACTGTCAGATAGCTTGCACTGGAATGGCTTTTTGCATATTGATACAAATTTAAAGTCATTTTTGTTACAATGTATGCATGTTTCTGCTCTTGTTTGGGGTATTGTGCTTATGCAGTTCATTTAAAAATGTAATGTATTAACTAAGAAATGAGGTTAGTAGTTAATCTATAATAATCAAACTTAAGTCACATTAGTTATGTTTTCAAGGTGAATCAGGTATATTTTAGATAGATGATTTTCAAACACTTCAAAGACCTACAGAATATGGCATTTAAGATGTTTAATAACCTAAGGTCTTTTTCAGACACATCTGCTCCTGGAAGCACCAATTTACTTCATAAAAGGTTGATGGGCACCGAAGAAACTCCATATGGAGTTTGCTTTCAATGTGGCAAGGCTGGCCATTTGGGCAAGAAACTGCTCTTGCCTTGACTGCTGACAATATTCTGTATAGACTGGACAAGCAGGGACATATGAAAATGACTGTTGAACTTTGCCAAAACAAGGTAGGACAGTCCTTGAGAGTCCTGCTTCAGAGAAGAGTCTGCCAGACATTCTGCAGGACACAGAGGAAAGTAATTGACGAACTTTGCTAATACAAGGCGGGGACAGTCCTTCAATTTTCCTGCTTCACTGAAAAGTCTGCCAGATAGTCTAGACCTGTAGGCTAAAGATGGATGCCCCAACACTACAAAGACAGCACTGAAGAATAAAAACGGGACATTTCAAAACTACCCAGAAGAGAAGCCACAGGGCATGTCAAAGATACAAGACTACTCAGCTATCTGCATTAAAGACTGAAAGGCAAATTCAATCCACCATCAGGGGGTTTCCTGAGAATCAGGCAGTCACATGGTCAGGAACGAAACGACACAAGCAGGAATCACAGTCAGGTTAGTCTTTTCCCCTGTGGCTGTCTCCAGCTGGAAGCCACAGTGCCCTTGGATCACTTCCCTCTCCCCTAGTCTGGAGTTCTCTGATAGCTCAGTGCCTCACCTGGGACCGGTTCTCTACCTTCACCTGGCAATGCTTGGGGGGAGGCTCAGCTCTCCCAGGATGGGGAGCCACTGGGCTCCTCTATGCTCATTCTAGCCACCCTCTTCTGTCCAAATTCTGTAAGCACACTGTTTTGTGTGACTATGCCACTGAATTATGAAAGAGGTAGGCAGAGAATACCCAGGACATGAGGCAGTGGCATGCATGATTGTCTGAATGACTTCATACATACACACTGGTGATCTTGAAATCTTTAAGTAATCCCACGATTCCTCCCCCCGCCCCCTTTGCCCTCCTTGTACTGGGCACCAGGTGTCAACACTTCAAAAGTCTGTCTTTCCAGCCCCTTCATGCCAGCCTGTCCCTGCCCCAGGGTATCCTGTCCTTTCCTTACTGCCCACTTGTTTTCTGCTATCACTGCTCACCATTTTATCCTCAATGACCTCTGGAATGCTTTCCTGCTGTTGCCAATGACTGGATTACTGCCCCTCACCTCCCAATTCTAGCCTCCCTCTCATCACTGCATTCACAGCTCTGGCCCTGGTCTCTGAAATGGTTTGCTTTTGTCAGGGGAGGCCATGCTGAGTTCTTGGTGGGGGTGGCTGGAGAGTGGCAGCTGGAGCTTGCCCTGCAGGCTCTCCCTAGCTTGCACTGCCTCTCTCTGCTGTTTAGACTGTGATATCACCCAGATGTGGTTGCTTTCCAACTGGAGAGGATTTTGTCACCAAAAGATACAGAGCAAAAACTGGAGCTGTTTTTCACTGGTAGAACTGAGAACTCCTAGCATAGAGAGATTAGGGGCCAAGGATGCAGCTAAACATTGAGTTCCTGCAATAAAGCATCCAATCCAAAAGTTCAAGGATGCCCAGAATGGAAAACACTGCTCTAGTGCTGGATGTCTCCAGAGTGCCACTTACACCAGCAGTGGCCTGACCACTGTGCTTTCTCTAGACTCTTCACACAGCACCAGCAGCACTGGGGCAACACCCCAAGTGGCTGCTCCAAGGTCCCTCCTCTAGACAGTCAGCTGTTTGATCTTTCTTCTCCAGGATGGCCCTGAACTGCCTGTCTCCAGCTGTATAGACACAGTCTGGCCACACCTGACGTGGGTGTTGGAGATTTGAACCCAGATCCTCACGCTTGCATAGGAAGCATGCTCATTTTCCCCACCCACACAGTCTGTTTCTCAAGTGGACATTGGTTAGGTAGCCAGGTAAGCTTAAACTTAGTGCAAGCACTCAATGTCGTTCCCCAGACAGACCATCTTAATGAAGACAAGTGCAATGATGGTTAGGATTCAGTGGGATAGGACATTCTGCACATCTGGAAACTATCTGACAGCATGGACCCTAAGACAAGTGCAATGATGGTTAGGAGTCAGTGGAATGGGACATTCCGCACATCTGGAAAACTATCTGACAGCATGGGCCAATACTTACAAAAGGCAACCACTTCGCCTCATTTTGAGGAATTAATTCTAAATAAACAAAAATCACAAAAATATGTCCGTAAGACTGATTGATGCAAGGAGTGCTGTTGATAACAGTCTAAGTGCTGAAGAGCCAAGTGGTCATTAACGGAGTCACGCAAACTGTGACAGAGGACCCTACAGTCAGTTATACGAGGACTCGATGCTAGGGAGTGACAAACTACAGTTCTGGTCACACACGCCCCGTCAAGACAGCTTGGCTAATTCTCTTTAGCTTTCCCTTTTCCCCCTAAAATTTCTATGATTTCATTTCTCTAAGAATTTGCTGTCCCTTCATTCCCTTTCTCTACATTTACATTCCTTTTACTGTCGTTTTTTGTGAATTTAGGTAGGAAGAAGAAATAAACACAAGTGTTTAACTTTTTGTGTTTAACTAAAAGTCTTAATTGCTTTTTCTTAAACAAGTATGCTTAGGAAAATAAAAAACCTTTAGGTATGGGAACCACCTTGATACAAACTATGTCGACTAAGTAAGTGCCAGTCACCTTTTTATACAGACTGATTTTAATTCACTAGTAAATGCCACTGTCGGCTCCTCTCCAGAACTATCGGAACACAGTAAGCGCATTTGTGAAGGGTTTCTGACATTTCCAATGCATCGGAGACAAAATTAGAAGGAGGTTAATACAAAATGATAAATTAGGGCACTGTCTGTGAAGCCACTGGCCACAGTTAACATTTCACCAGAGGAAATTCAGTCACTAAACACACCTGACTCTTAACTATTCAATCCCAAGTAAATGACACCTTGGGAGTTTGAGCAAATTCAAGATTCATGAGAGTTCAAGTAGATATGAAACTCAAGCACAGTCCATAAAAACTGGAAAACAAAACCACAACTGCAATTCTAAAGCACTTCAAGCAACTAGAACTGGACTGAGAAGTGCGGTGTTCACACGCCTATTCCCAAGGCACCTTCCACTTCCCTTCACTCCTGTGTCTGATTCTCACCAAGCAGTGAAGAAGGAAAGAAAATCTTACCTGATAACCCGCGGTAATTCAGTTCTGCAAGGGACGGATTTACAAAAGACAGTGTGATGACAATTATATGTTGTTGAAGGGTGACAGTTCCACCCTCAGCCTTGCCTGTAGCCTATGAGCAGGCCTGGATTAAATCAATTTGATAAGCACCAAGAGTCAGGCTGGATAACAACCAAGTGTGATGATGACTTGTGCAATTTACAAAAACCTGTTTTTCTAAATACAGGTGCTCATTTGTATTAATAATTTTTGAATTTTATGTAGCAACATATTTTGTTCAATTTAATCTTATGAAAAACTAGGCAATATAGTTTTGCATAAATAGGCAAAACTAGGTAAAATGGAGAACCAGCATTTGATCAGTATAAATCTTAGAAGATGAAAACTACATTTTCATTATTCTGATTATAATATTTATGATGCAAATATATACACTATTTCTATTGCATGAAGCCAATGAGAACAGTAAAGCTGAAATGCTAAACAAAAGTATTCAAAGTAGAGTTGTATGTGTATCTTATTCGGCTTCACATCCAAATGTCTGCTGTGTATTTTAGCTACTCAGAATCCCTGCAATCATGTAGGAACTGGCAACGATAACATCTAAAAAGCTTAGGGTAGACTGTCCCAAGAGTTTTCAACCACATTAAACATGAAACAGACAGCAGGGGAGGTTTTCAGATTTCCCCTTTTTCTTTTGCTATGTGTGTGTCCTCACCTGTGGTGCGCATGTGTGGAGGTCAGAGGTCAACTTTAGGTACCTTTGTCTACTGCTCTCAGGAACCTTCATTTTCTCAGACAGGGTCTCACTGAAGTGACTGGCTGGCCAGCAAGCTTTCAGACCCCATGTCAGGTCCCCTCCCACTCTCCCTGTGCTGGGGTCACAAGAGAGTTTTTAAGTGAGTCTCAGGATCCAAACTCAGGTCCCTCTGTTCGCACAGCAGGCGCTGTGCCCACTGGGCTGTCCTCCCGTCTGAGAGAGTTTAGTCACTAACTGTATCTAATAACAACTCGTATCCTCACCACACACATCAGGTGTCTAGGAAGCTTCTAGAACATCTTCAAATGCCAATCTTCCTGTGAGTCATCGAACACACACACACTTGTTGTCTCACCACGGAACACGGCAGAACATACACTTTGAATGTCTGATTCTTGAACGGAAACTGATTCCTGTGCTTCCTGCGTACCAGTGTTTCACCCACCTGTGAACTATTTGGTGACTGAACATCCGCAGATGGACTTTGAAAGGTTCGTGGCAGACACACAAAGTTTGTAATTCATACGGGAAGATGGTATGAGAAGGAAATATGAAAAAAAGCAGAAGTTCTATTCAAACACTAGCATGCTGGTTATCTATTGTGTTAAACCACAGAGCTAAGATGGCAGTTGGTTTTGATATGGGGTTCTTTGAGTGGTGCTGGGGATTGAACCCAGGGCCTTGTATGTGCTAGGCAAGTGTTCTACTGCTTATCAATATTACCAGCCAATCGAGCTTTGTTTTTAAGTCTAAAATGTAGTGAATCTGATTTTGCAATAGCAGACCAGCTTGCTTCCAAACAATCTTCCACTGATGACAATTAGAAAAGCCAGGGAAAAGCTCTTTCTGCCTTAAAAAAAAATACCAGTAACCACTAAAAGAATTGTCCAAGAATGTGTAACAAATTTGTACAACAGGAAAAACAAAATGTGATAGATGAGTGAGAACAAAGCAGAGAACAGATTTAAAAATATAACATCAAAAATATGGAATACAGAGCCTGGCCGCAGACCTTCTCCGCTCTCTCTGTTCTCCCAGACCCAATCCCTAGGGCTCACCCCTAGCCCTGCAACAGATCACCAGCTGTGGCTTCCCTTTCCTCTGCCCACATCTCCTATGGATCCCACAGACCATTCTCTCCTGGCTTCCCTCCCCGTCTCACTGCTCTATCTCAGCCCCCAACTCAAGCAGATGCCCCCTGCTCAACTGCAGGGCAAGCCTGCTGGAAAACCAGGTGGGCTGCCTATAGACCTCCACTTCTCTGTTCCCCCAGACCCAATCCCTCAGGCTCCTCCATAGCTCTGCAACAGATCACCAGGTGTGGGCTGTTTCTGCTGCAGCTGCCCATGTCTCTTGTGGATCCCAGGCACCGGTCCCTTCCCACTTCCTTCCCCCAACTCATTGCTTAATTCCAGCCTCCAACACCAGCAGGCATTCCCCATGAACACACCCGCTGAGCAGGACAGGAAAACAGGCAACACACAGCCATCACACATTCTGAAAATTCAGAGAGGAAACAGAAACCCAGGAGCAAAATACCCACCCTATAAAGAAAAACCTAGAAACCAGCATCTAGTCCTATCATCACCCCAAACCCAGATGCCTAGATGCCAGAGTAAGAACATAACAGCCAGTACAGTATGTCTCCACTAAAGCCCAACTATTCTACCACACCAGGCCCTGAATTTTCCAACTTATATGAAGCCAAGAAAAAGACCTTAAAACCAACTATATGATGATAGAAGTCCTTACGGAGAAAATTCATATATCTCTTAAAGAAAGCCAGGAAAACACAAACACACACAAACACTCCCCACTCCCCACCACTTCCAAAATAACAGAAATCAACAATCATTGGTCAGTGATATCTCTTAATATCAATGGTCTCAAATCCCCAATAAAAAGACACAGACTAACAGAATAGAACCACAGGAGGTATTACCATCCCTGATTTCAAATTGTACCATGGAGCTATAGTAATAAAAAAACACATGATATTGGAATAAAAACAGACATGATGATCACTGGGATCAATGATGATCTTACCAGTCTCTCCTACCTATTAACATCTCAACTTCTTCCTGAAAGTAGTTTGGGAAAATGCTGAAGGCCTCAGGAGTGTAACAGTTTCCAAATGTGAGAAAGGACTTGATTAAAATATTCTTATAAGAAGATAGCAAAACATCAGAAAAATGTAAGAGCAAACTAAAATTTGGAAGCTACAAAAGAATGCTATATAAGAAACATGAGCAAGGGATTTAAAAATAACAATTAACTTACGTGGTGGGATCAACTGCAGAGTGGAACCAACAAGAACCAGATCAGAGAACTTAGATTCACAGAATTTACAAACTTGAATTAGTGGGAAATAGTCTAAAACCTCAGCAGTGGCCCAGGAACTGCTACTACAATGATAACCTAAAACTCACACAATCAGAGTTCCAGAGGAGACAATGTGGGGCTAAAAGAGACATTCAAAGAAACAGTATCTGGGAACTTCCCAAATTTGAGGAGGACATAAATCGACAGATTCAAGAAGCTGAGTCAATCTCAAGCTGGAGAAATCTACAGAAATACAAGGCATGCCAAAGATGCATTTTGAAATACTGAAAACAAAGAAGAAAACTTAAAAGCAGTCAGAGAACAACAACACATTATCTGTGATGGTGAATCTCATGTTGATTTCTCAGGAAAAACCACGAGGGACAGAAAGGCCTTTCAACTTTATACGGAAAACAAGAAGCATTCAACAGACACCAAACACACCCGCTTAGGGTTCCAAAGTTTTGTTTTAAACAAATCGTTGTGACTAAAGACTAGAGATTTTTCTACTTTCGGGTCTGTTGGGTTCCATTCCCCACCCCAGCTATAAAGACGTCCTTCTAAAACTAAAAGGGCAGAGAAGGATGGGTGGGTTCAAATGGCAGACTCTAAGTTCTCCCACTGGTTAGCATACAGGACAGAGAGCAGACGATCAGTAATAACCTGAATGGGGAGAAATGAATTAGTGAGTCATGAAAGAAGTGTCTCAACCTGAATTCTGAGCTGCGAGGGGAGGGGGAAAAAAAAAAAAAACAAACAAAAAACGCCAAAGGTGAAAGTTTGCAACTAAGGCAGGAAGAGTTAATGAAAAACAGGGTGGACCTGAGATGCGTGGGCAGCCCCAGAGCAGACTCTGACTCATTTCTAGCCGGCAGGCTAACAAGGCTCAGGCTCATCCTTTCTCAGGGAACCTCTGGCGATCTTGCCGCAGGTGGGATGCTCTTAGTACCAAAGGATTCCGCGCGGCCCAGCTCAGCGGCTCTGCACCCGGGGTGATGGCAGCTCCGTTATCTGGCACCGCCCCGCGCGCAGCACGCCTGCCCTTCCTCAGGAAAAACCACCCACAGTGCGGTCCGCAGCAGCTCACCTGTCCACCTGCAAGGTGTGCCGGGTTGCTCACTGACGTCCTGGCAAAGCTTCACCAGAACCGGAAGTCCCGCCCAGCCACGACGTCACAACATCGCGCCGCGCCCATTCAGGAAGTCGGTCCCCCTTGAATGCTTTGCTTGTGAGTATCACGAGTGTGAGAGTTTTGATGGCAGCTTGGTAGGTATGCGGTCCCTGGGAGCACACTCTTATTTCATCCGAATTTTACACGCTTTCTGTTCTTCATGGGTTTTGATTATTTCGTTTTTCCTCTCCTCCCACGTCCTTGCATTTGTTCTCTGCATCTGACTCCCCCCCCCCCCCCCCCCCCATTTCCTTTCTTCCCTCACCACTTGCTTTTCTTCCCTTCTTCATGAATACAGGAAAGTTGACTCTCAGTTTACCTCAGCGTTAGTATTCCGCGTCACATACTCTGCACTTTGGGACGATGCGACTGTCCCAGAGGTACATTCAGCTTACTGCAAACTCCAAGATCGAATCCTCGGCACTTGGTACATTGTAGGCGATCAGTGTATTTCTGTCCTAAAAAGTACTGTAGCTGATATGGCATTCTTATATCCAGAAGCAGCAGCATGGAACTTCGAAAAATCACAGTAATTATCACCCATACAAAGAAACGAAGCTTTGCTCTTGTATTCAAGTACCTCAGTGATGGTGCGACCAGCCAGCCAGCTGTGGAATGTAAACCGCTAAACTTCTTCATTACTCTTCCTTGTCAGTTCTACTTTCCGTATCCAATAGGTAACATTTAATGACTATAGAAAAAGCCATTCACTGTGCTAACTTTTTCATGAACTATTTTTAAATTCTCATGGCAGTTCAGTGACATCGGCATTGAAAGTGATCATTGAAGTCTGGAGACATAAAAACATAGAATAAGTGATTATGTTACAGTGACATTATGTGATATGTTCAAGGTGGTGTCCCTCATGCACAGTTTTATGTATGTAAATTTCCCACCACTAATGCTATAAAACTATATTTGTATATGCCACAATTGACCTACCTCTCCAACAACAGTATACATCCCAATGTCAATGCAAAATGGAAGTGGAATCTTAAAAACAACTGGAAGCCGAGGTACAGGACTCTCTCCATCTCTTGGCTTCAAATCTCTCTAGGTATCTGTTCCATCCTTCTTTCATCCACAGGCTGTGTGACAGAATGCATTAACACAGTAATGTAACATCTCTTTTAATTCTTGCACACGCGTCTGTAATGCATTACCTCAGGTGATTTATGTTTCTGATTTCACTGAACCTGTGCCAGAAATAACTAAAGGTTCAGTCTTTAAGTAACAACAATCTTTCCAGACCTTATAGATACTCAGGGCTATTTCCTTTCACCCCACAGTGTAAAATGAGGTGTAGAGAAACTAAGTAACTTCTCAAAGTCAGTTGGGAGACCTAGGCTCAGGTTGCTGGCAGCAACTTCTCAACTGTTCCTTATGTCTTCGCTGGACCTTCTGCTTTGGGGATATACATGCTTTCACTAATTAAGTTGTCATATTTTTGCACACAGTGTTCTCTTTGCTACACGACAGACTATAACTGATGTGATTCATTTAAGTAGCTGAGTGTTCTCTGAAGCCTGCAGAATTCATTTGGCATGTGTCAAGTGAGCTGTAATTGTGGAGCTATTATGTATTGAGGTTTGGAAATAAAATACTCCTCCCTCCTCCATAACCAAGTGTTGAAAACTTGTTTTTGTCATGCAGGATTGTTCAGAAGAGGAGCATCTGAGAGGTGATTTGACCATTGATAATGCCATGTCTGAATGGACTGTTAGAAATTGAGGGCTGGTTGAGGGAGGCAGATCATTGAAGGAATGTGTCTTTGATGGATGTCTTCTGTTATCTCTGTGTCCTTCCTGCACAGCTTTGCAATCCCACACACTCCCCACCGTGGTGCTGTACCTCACCACAAGCAGAAGCAGTGGACTGAAATCTCCCAATCTGTAACCCTTAATAAGTTTTTTGTTTGTTTGTTTGTTTGTTTTTTTGAGGCAGGGTCTCTCTCTATAGCATTGGCTGTACAGGGATTCACTATGCACACCAAGCTGGCCCTGAACTCAGAGGTCTGCCTGCCTCTGCCTCTCACGTGCTGGGATTTAAGGCGTGCACCACCATGTCCAGGAGAAATAAGTATTTCATTCTTTAAATTTATTTTGGATATTTTGGCACAGTGATTAAAAGTGACTGACACAATGTGTGTACCTCTTTCTTTTTTGTATTCCTTTCTCTTTTTTAAAACATCAGTTTCCACTCCCCATTAAAATGAGATTTCCCTGTAAATAGTCCTTTTACAATTTTTTTTGTCCCCTCCCCCTCCTTTTACAATTTTAAGTAGTGTTAAAATCCATGTGCATTATTCTTTTATTTGAAGGTCTGGAAAATTTTGAAATAAAGCCACCCCTTTTGTATTATATTTATTAGTACTTCTTAAATTTTAGTGTAAGTAAGAATCCCCTGGTTTGTTAACACACTTTGTACCTCATAGAAATCTCTTAGACAGAAGCCAGGAACCACACGTTGTTTTGAGCAAACTGCACAATATTTAAATCATCGATTACAGATCATAATGCACTTTAGGTGTTGTTTTCCAATAATTATAGCATTTTTATTTACAAAAATAAACAATTAAACAACTAATTAAACAATTAAACAACTAACTAAGCAATTACATACATTTCCTAGTACTTTTTTCATGTATAGTACTGTGTAAAACATTTTCCTCTATAAAGAGGGACCAAGCAAAATTTACTTAGGTAGATTGGCTCCCTTTTCCATGGGCAGCACAAACACTGTAGGCTGTCATAGGAAATTTTTCTTTCCATTGACTGGAATACACATAGGTTCATGCTGCTTCATATCACCTGACAACCTTTCGGGTGGATCTGCAGTCACTTGCTTTTGTGTCCTGCTTGTCCAATTTGGACAGCATACTGTAAGCAGTCGAGGCAAGAACACTTTCTTGTCTAGTGGCCAACTTTTGCCACAAAGAAAGTAAATTCCAGATGGAGTTTCTTCAGTGCCCATCATCTTCTTTGAAGTAGATTGTTGCTGCCAGGAGCAGACATGTCTCATTGTCATTAAAAAAAAACCCCTTATGTTATTAAAACATCTTAAATGCTATATTCTGTAGCTCTCTGAAGTGTTTGAAGACCACCTGTCTATCTAAAATATATCTGTTTGGCCTTGACCTAACCTGACTATAGGTTTTATTGTAATCGTTGACTAACTACTAACCTGCATTTCTTCATTATCCTAAATAGTATGTAATAACTTTCAAGGACTAGGAATTTACATTAAATTGTTAAAAGAGCTGTATAAGTACAATACTTTGAACAAGAGTAGAGGCGTTTGGACAATATGTTCTAACTGAAATAACCTTAAATTTGTATCAATATACAATAATTCATATCAATGTAAAATATTTAAAAGTAGTAGTTGCTTTTTTGGTTTAAAAGTACATTCAATAATCTACCTTTTAATCCTATCATTTCTATAACATATATACAGTATAACAAAAATAACTTCAAATTTGTGTCAATATACAAAAATCCAAGCCAATGTAAAATGTTTAAAACTAGTAGTTGCTTTTTTGGTCTAAAAGTAAATTTAATAATCTACCCTTTTATCCTATTTTTATATTCCCCCTTTTTCTTTTTAGAACAAGATCCCTGAATCTAATCTCCCTTGTTCATCTTTTTCCTGACCACTACCCAAAACAACTTGTAACCAACCACCCTAAATGGTTACAAATATCCATAACCCCCTGAATGACCAAAAACAGCCTACCCCACCTCTTGGGAATATGGGCATTGTGTTCTTAAAATTACTTCCGGCTGTTTGGGGGCTATGGCATCTGTACGGAACCCTGAAAAAATTGAGATGATTGCCAAGTCCTGGGAGAACTAGCTGTATCATTTGTTGTCCTGTCATGGGAGAGAACAGGGCTTGTCTCAACTCCTGGCTAGAGAAGGCTCTGAGGCTGGACCATCTCAGCTAGCCACCTTGAAATTATGAGATTGGTTCTCCTTTAAATTCCTCTGTCTGGATTTCAATATCTCTATGATACATTTTAAAAGTTTTTCTAAGGCCTGTATCTTGGCACTCATATCAACCAACTTTTTTAGTGATGAACCAAGAAATACTAAACCAATAATAGGAATTACCAAATGATAATTAACATTATGCCAATCCCAGTTAAGTTGATGATCTCATCATAATTGTTCGATTTTTAAACCATGCATTGTGTAATCATACAGAGACCTAACTCCCTCCATAGTAAGAGTGTTTCCCATTTTTTTTTTTACCATGGGAAAAAACTCTCTCTCTCTTTTTAAAACTATTCTTCCCTTTAAGAATTTCCAGTTGTCACACCAGATCTTCTGATGATGATGATGGTGAAGATGACAGTGAAGTGTGAGGCTGACTGCTGCTGTGCAGAACAGTAGAAGCCCAAGCAAGTGTCAAGGCAGCTACCTAGTGTGGCAGCAGCCCAAGGAGGGAGTCTAGGAAAAGCCCATAACCCACCGGGAGAGAAGAAGCCAAAGAGTCAGTTGTCTGCATGGGGGAATGTGGGAAAGTGGCTAACTCCTATGGCGTTTGGAGCCCAAGTGCCCATGGAGTTTGCTGTAGAGAGGTTGGAACAGAAAACTCCCAAACTCGCCCAGAGGCTTGGGGGAAAAAAGAAAGGAAAACCTAGCCAGCAAGATGGTGACTCCAGTCGGAGCCCCTGCGTGCAGCTTTGGCATGTGCCATTGGCTACAAAGCCACAGGCAAATGGTTTTTTTTTTTTGTGAATTCAAGCCCCGAAAGTTGGGTGCCAGATGAAGTGTGATTCTAATTAGTCTTATTAAATAAAAGCCCAGACTCAGATATTAGGGAGAAAGCTGAAAGATCAGAAAAGCAGAGCAGCAGCCAAAGAGACTTATTACCTTTACAAAATCTCAGACCGATTGGGGGGGCTGAAATCTCCACCTGTCTTATATTTCTGTCTCTATCTCCATAGTGCTGAGATTAAAGGTGTGCACCACCTCCACTCATTTCTGTTTCTCCTTTAGACTGGTTCAATCTTATGTAGCCCAGGGTGGCCTTGAACTCCTGATCTTTCTGCTTCCTGCTCCCAAGTGCTGGGATTAAAGGTGTGTGCTAATCCACTGCCTGGCCCTATGGTTAATTAGTGGCTATCTTCACCCTCTGGTCTCTAGGCAAGCTTTATTTGTCAGAACACAAACAAAATATCACACAACAGATTACTTCCAAGATAGTAGTGCTACTATTGCATCATTGGGAATTGTGGTGGTTTGAAAAAAATGGCCCTCATGGGTTCATAGGGAGTGGCATTATCAGGAGGTGTGACCTTTATGGAGTAGGTGTGGCTTTGTTGGAGGAAGTGAGTCACTGGGCAGGCTGTGAGGTCTCAGAAACTCAAACCAGGCATAGTGGCTCACAGTTCACTTCCTGCTGCCTGTTGATCCAGATGTAGAACTCTCAGGTACCTCTCCAGCACCATGTCTGCCTGCATACTCCCATGCTTCCTGCCATGTCAATAATGGACTAAACCTCTGAACTGTAAGCCAGCCCCAATGAAATGTTTTTCTTTATTAGAGTTGCCATGGTCATGGCATCTCTTGACAATAGTAAAACCATAACTAAGACAGCGATATTTTGCTGGGCCAGCCATTGTTATGAAAGGTGAAAAACAAGGCAGTGGGTGGAGACTGGGGAAAGGGAAAGGGTGCAAATAAATATCACATTAATGATGTTTCACAAAGCCATAGGGAAACATGCTTACAAATTTACCTAAAAGTACACATGCATTATATATAAAGGTACTGTATGTACACACACACACACACACACACACACACACACACACACACACACACACAGTTTAAATATAGTTACATTACTTGGGGTAACTTCAGGAGCAAAAAAATCTGAGTGTTAGGCCTGGGAAACGTCTTTGAAGTTTTTTGATCAAGGAGGCTGGTGTCTAAGCAACTCCCCAAACAGTATAGGCTATTGCCATTTTCCTTGCTTGCCCTCCAGAACTTGAAGGTCGACCCTCTTGCTGAAGACAACACATACTTTGGACATAGGTCTTACGGGAATCAAGCTGGAGCTGGCCTGAAAGTATTTTCCTCAAGGACTAGCTCTCCATACCAGAAGGTGCTATACAGGCTGCCAACAGAGAAAAGTACAAGTATGCAATTTTAATCTTTAACAAATATATGAAAAATCAGAGATAATAGTTACAGACTCCCAAATACATTAATATAACTGAAGTGTTCTGTATGATAGTTAATAATATAGAAGGCAGTCAGATAGATAGCATCTGTCATCTGTAAAATTTGGAGATTCTCACTAAAGAACTGTTCTTTTTGAATTGCCTTTACAAAGGCATTTAAAATAATTGAACAAAAATCTGACAAATAGCAACATTTAGATGCATCTGCCATAAAAATTATACAACATATACACATATTAGCCTATGTATGTACATGTGTGAGTATGTTGTAGAGAGACAATACGTAGTGTTTTTAACACCTTCAATGTAATTCACCACATATAATCTCACTGTGACTCCAGATGTGTTGTCTTACTCCATGCTGTGTCCATTAGTCCTTTTCAGTGAGTCCACACAATAAAGAAGTTTTTAGTGGCAGGGCAGGTTGGAGTGAGGATAAGACAAACATGAACACTGTAGTACAAATATCTCCATAAACTCAAACAGGTCAGCATTAGCTACAGATGGACTCCACCTTACAGCACTGTGTGTTCCCATTTTATTGAAGTTCTCAGAAGCTCACTGCACCATTCAGTGAGGTTTTTGTGGGCTAGTAACAGTACTCAGGACTTTTACAAATCATTCCTTTTCATTTTTTAATGGAGACTTCATATTCTCCAGTAAAATAAAGATCAGGGTTTTCACAGATCCAAATACCTTTCTATGCAATTCTTCTTTCCAAATGTGGGAAATGCAATGATGGTTCTTTTGAGATGCTACAGTCCTAACCTTGGGAACTGCTCCATGCTCCATTTCATGGTTGAAAGGACATTGCCAATGTGCTGAAGATTGTGATATGGAGATTATTATCTTGGGTTCTTCAGATGGGACCAAAGGAATCACAAAGGTTGAAGAGGGAGGAGGAGGGCCAGAGTCACAGAAGACACTGTGACATTGGAAGCAGTGGAGGGAGACAGAGGTGTGAGAGTTGAAGCATGACATGATGGAAGACTCTGCATTGCTGCCTTGTAGAGAGAAGACAGAAGCCTCAAAGCAAGGGATTCAGGAATTGCTGGGGGAAAGAAAAAATATTCAGAGGAAGCATAGGCCGGTCAACACCTTCGTTTGAGCCCATTGAAACAAACTTTGAAGTTCTGACTCCCAGAACAGATGTTGTTTTAAGGGACTGCATGTGTTTCAGAAGTCACAGCAAATCAACAGAACAGATGTCCTGACAATTTCTGCTTTAAACATAAGTGGATGATACTGATTGCATAGGTGTCACGCTTCTGAGTGCTTGTTACTGTCCCTGTACTCTTGTGGTTTCTCTACTACACCTTTGCCTTCTTAGCTTTGGAAACCTTTAAACATCTCACGCTTGCCTACCTTTTCTCAGACCAGCTCCAGTCAAAGAACTGTGGTCATGTTGTTAATACAGACTTCAAATCCATTCCAGGATCCCATTTCATTTACGGTTATCTATGAAATTCTTACCTGAAATTGAAAAGGTGAAACCAAGTTTGAAAAGAATTGGTGAATTCTCATATCTTTAAAGTCTCCAAACTTCTGGTTGTGGAGTCTTTCATATCTAATATTTCAGGAAGACTAGGAAAGCATGTGCTGTATCTCCCCTCCACTCCCCTCACCTAGTCTCCCTCCCCTCCCTCTCTTTTCTTCCCCCTTTACTTTCCTTCTCTTTCTTTTTAATTTTCCCCTCTGGATGTTGAAACTGAGATATCAATCTCAAAGTATGTTGAAAGCAGGAAGATGTGTTAATTTTTTGGCAGTTCACATCTGATATTCTGTGTTTGGAGAATGTCCCATGTGGTGAGTCCTATTACATTCTAAGCCCTGTGCTAGGCCTGCTTTGGGAAACCTCCTTCTGGTCAAAGAGATGCAATTATTCTGTGTGAAAGTATGCTGATGCTGCCAGTGACCTCGTGGACAGGTTGGACAGTGAAGAAGGAGAAGTTCCAAAAACTATGGATTAGATAAAGAGGTCTGTGACTGAAGACATTTCTTGAGTCTTGCCTTGAAAGATGTTTGTGTGAAGGTAACCTAAAGTTGCATTATGGTCGAGGTGGTTAATTCAACAAAATATATAAAACGGTTTCAAATGGCATGATCCAGTGACTATACTGTTGTCAACTCTATACAGTAAAGATTAATGTCTCTTTTGCTGGGAATGATGGCAAATACTTGTAATCCCAGTACTTGGGAGACTGAAACAGGACAGCCATGAATTCAAGACTAGCTTAGACTACATAGCAAGACTCTTGCAAAACAAAACAAAATAATGAAACCAATCAACCAAACTACAACAACAATAAAAAACCCACAACTACACACCACACACAAAACGCACAAAACTATGATGATGATGATGATGATGATGATGGTGATGATGATGATGAAAAAGCTGAATGTAACATATCCTCAGATGTTTTCATTGGGTTTTATGCAGCTTCTTCTGCAGAATTGTCTTGAGCTGTTTCCTGACTATTTCAGGATGCTTTTCTGAACATCTTGGACCTAAGCTCTCTTCTTAAAATGGTATTTCCTTCCTTGATAACCCAGAATATCCCTACACATCTGATACTCAATACCACTGAGCTAATTTTCCTAGGTTAACTGAGGCTCCTGGGCTCTTGGGGTCTTAGAACTAATGTACATTGTAGATTTGTGTGCTGTGCTCTAACCCAGTAGTGTTTTATTTGTTTGCTGTAACATTTACAGACAATTCCACACATCATAATACTTTAGCCTCAAGTGATTCAGTGCTGATAGATAAAGACTTAAAAGTAGTGCCATTACCTCATTTCATAAACTAGCAAATACCTTTAACACGGTCTGTTATGCAGAGCATATTCAGTTCCCCAGACATGGACTTGACTTACTCCACCATCTAGTTCTGTTCTGGAGTTTTTTTTTTCCCTTCTGAGACAGGCTTTCTCTGTGTAGCTTTGGAGCCTATCCTGAAAATCACTTTGTAGACCAGGCTGGCCTTGAACTCACAGAGATCCACCTACCTCTGCCTCCCAAGTGCTGGGATTAAAGGCATGTGCTACTACTGCCTGGCTATTCTGGAGCTTTTAGGGGAACAATGCACTTTATTGTTGGAATCCTTTAATGTAATTACTATAGTTATAGAGGTTGCAGACTCTGATGAGCTGTTTTACATAGCACAACAAAGACACATTTTAAAACAAAGGGAAGAGTGTCTATGTAAGTCCACCTCTCTCTTGCTATAACACGTACTAGAGTCTAAGGACCTTCTTCAGGTTTTGGATCCCGAAGACATATCTGCCTGGCTACTGGCAGACCCCCTTCCATTACAATGTGGCAGAGAAGCAGCTCTCTGTACAATGACATGATCTGTTGAGAACTACATTAATCCCTACCAAAGGCCATGCTTCCATGAATGACCTAATTGCCCTGAACTGGGTTCCACCCTCTAAAGGCTGTCTGTCACATCCTCAGTAAAGACCACCTCTAAAGTGTAGCAGCAAAGAATAAGATTTCATCCTTGAGCACAGTATAGTCTTGGATTTTTTAAATGATGCATTATCTTGAGTCCTACCTTCTGGGGGAAATATCCATCTTACACATTAGTGGTCCCTGAAAGATAATCAAACATCAATTGCTGATGTATTATCTTCCTGTGAGGTAGAAGCAAGATTCTCCTAGTGGTTCTATGTCTTGAGGGACACACACCACAGTCTAATGATTAAACCTAATGAATTTAAAATGAAACAACTCTCACAAAGCTAGAATATATTTTCCACTTTTAGTGTTTCTGTGAGAATAACCTTAATTAGTATGACATTCTTGACATCTCTTAATCCTCTGCTTACTGTGCCCTAGGGAAAGCACAATAACTTGGCCAATTGGTAAATTTTAGAAGACTTAGCTGTGATTGATGAATTAATTGCTTTCTTTTTGAAGCTGGCTTCCCAAAGGGAGGGAGAAGGTTTTGTCTTTTCTATGATACAAGAATAGTCTGGACAGGTGTCCACCACAGCCAAACACTGCCTATGACAGCATGGGTAAGTCTTTCCAATTCTGGGGGGTCAATCTGTAGTTGCTTTTGACTTTCTTTTTATTTATTTATTTTTTATCATTAAGAATTTTTTCATTCATTTTACACACCAAAGATCCCCCTCCTCACTCCTCCTGTCCCCCCACTGCCAGCATCCTCCTTCCAACCCACCCTCCACTCCCCTGACAAGAAGGCAAGGCCTCCCATGGGGAGACACATCCAGTCGAGGCAAGTCCCAACCCTTTCCCCTGCCTCAAGGCTGCACAAGGTGTTCCATCATAGGTAGTGGGATCCAAAAAGCCCACTCATGTGCCAGGGATGTATTCTGATCCTACCGCCAGGGGGCCTCCCAAGCAGATCAAGCTACACAACTGCCTTGCCATGCAGAGGGCCTAGTCCAGTCCCATACAGGCTCCACAGCCGTTGATCCAACTTTCATGAGTTCCCACTAGTTTGGTTTGGTCATCTCTGCAGGTTTCCCCATCATGATCCTGATGCACTTGCTCATAGAATCCCTCTTCTCTCTCTTCGACTGGACTCCTGGAGCTCTGACTGGTGTTTGGCTGTGAATCTCTGCATCTGCTTCCATCAGTCACTGGAGAAAAGCTCTGTAAAGTCACCCAGGAGGAATAGATGCCAGGAAATAATCGAATTGAGAGCTGAAATCAATAAAATAGAAACAAAGAGAACAATACAAAGAATCAATGAAACAAAGAATTGGTTCTTTGAGAAAATCAACAAGATAGACAAGCCCTTATCCAAACTAACCAAAAGGCAGAGAGAGAGAGAGAGCATCCAAATTAACAAAATCAGAAATGAAAAGGGAGACATAACAACAGACAACGAGGAAATCCAGAGAATTATCAGGTCATACTTCAAATACCTGTACTCCTTTGGACTTTCATTGTAACTATGGATCTTAATATGACCTTTCTCAGAAAAGAGATAACACTTTGGTGTTTTTATGTTTTATTCCTAGTTTTATTTCTCACTTTTTTTCTAGAACCCCATGAAGATAAAGGATACCATAATGAGGGAGAGGAATTGTCCCTTCAAAGAGAGAAGCAGAGAGCTATTTTAACATGTTTTATTTACTAATATTTGACATAGAATTTTTGAGCTCATATGCTGAAAAAGGATAAATTTGTATTTTTTATTTAGGAATTGAGGGTTTTATGCAGATTTCACCAATATACTAGATTCATCAAAAGAATTCAGATGTTTTCCTTTTTTCTATGTTCTGGAGAAATTTAAATAATGTTGGAATTATCTGTAGTTTGTATTTGCTTAAAAATTACCCATTTACCTCAACTTCTTTCATTTGTTTGCTTATAGCTGAAGAAAGAAGACACCTGGGAATCTTTAAAGTTCCTCTCTATTGTCGTTATTTCCTTCTCATTTCCAAGTTTTGTGCTTTTTTTTGTACTTATTCACATGACCCAGGGAATCAGTGCTTATGCATTTTAATTTTAGTTCAGTAGAATAGGCTTGTATTTAGATATTAGTGGTGTATTCATCTCTTTTTAAAATTATTTATTGAATGCGGTTTTGTTTACCATGGTTTTCTTCTGGCTTTGTTGGGACTCTGTAACTTGACTCTTATAAATACATTTCAGCTATGAATGTTTCTATGCTTAGTCTTAGGTTTCTGATGTTACTATAAATAAGCAGTTGCTTGTTTGGCAAGCAGAGTTTTCTAGTTAAGTGATCATTGTCTTGTGAATGAGACAAATGAGGAATCTGTTCTTTGTGTAAGTATCTTTTTAAAAAGTCTCTCTCTTTCTTCCTCCGTTTTTCCCTCCCTCCTTCTCCTTTCTCCCCCTCTGTGTCTTTCTTTCACATACACACATTTAAACACACAGACACACAGACAGACAGACAGATGGACACACACACACACACACACACACACACACACACACACACACGGTCTCACTATGTAACCCTGGTTGGCCTGGAACTTACTGTGTAGATAAAGGCTGACCTTGAATTTACAGAGCTCTGCCTGCCTCTGCTTCCAGAGTGCTGGGATTAAAGATGTGTGCCATTCAGTCTTTAGAAAGTCTCTTTAGCAATAAATTTATTTCCAATTTTCTGTCCTCCCCAGTGAAGGGATGTATTTTGTTCATCATTGACATTGTTTAATCACAGGCTTACTTTGGAGTGGAATGTTGATATATAGTTTATTTCGGGATTTCATCATTGTGGGAGTTCTGAGATTCTTTTGCTCTGCCCTACAATCTTCCTGTTCCCGATTGGGGTTCTTTGTCCTGGGTCACAAAGGAAGATGTAAAGGGAAGATGTGACCAACCAGTGATGTGTAATGTAGCAAGAAATAAATCTTCATTGTTGTAAACTACTAAGAATCAGGAGTTTCTAGTGCAGCAAATGTTAGCAAAACTGTTATGTAGCACCTTTTGAATGTATAGTTATATATTTATTATATTTATTCTTTTACACTGTATTACATATTTATATGTATATAACATATATAACATTTAAGTGATATGAGATATTTTGAACATTAATATATAAGTACATTTTATAAAACAAAATATAGTTTTTATGTTTAAATCATAATTATAAAAGTTTATGATTGAATCTTTATCTTAATTTTTAGTACTTATTTATGTATTTATTTTTTTGGGTGTGTATGGGTGTTTCACCTGCATGAATGTCTGTGTACCACATGCATGCCTGGTGCCTGAAGATTCCAGAAGTGATTGCCAGCTCCTCTGGGACAGCTGGTTGTGAGTGACCATGTGGGTGCTGGGTATCAAACCCTGGACTTCTGGAAGAGCCGCCAGTGCTCTTAACTTCTGATCCATCTCTCTAGCCCCAGGTCTTCGCTTTTTTTAAAAAAGGTCTGTTTATTTTAATTTTATATGTGTGAGTGTTTTGTCTGTGTATATTTCTATACACTATTCTCATGCCTGGTGACCAAAGAGGCCAGAAGAGCTGTCAAATCTTCAGAACTGAAGTAACAGATGGTGTGAGCGACCATCTCTGTGTTAGCAACCAAACCTGAGTCCTCTGCAAGAGCAGCAAATGCTCTTAACCACTGAGCCATCCCTTCAGCTACGGGGCCTTTGCTTTTATGGTAAACTTGAAGCCATAGTTATGATTTCAATGATACCAAGTGTTTAGTGAGAAAAGTTTCCCTCTTCCAATCCTGTTATATCAACCCAGGGACATAGTTCTAGAAATTCAGTCATATGGAAAATGTCGCTGTCTCTAGTTGGCTGTTTTACTTATACCTCAAGAACAAGTGGAAATAACTTCCAGTCAAAATGACATCAGGTACCAAATGGATAGAGTGTCCCATGACTATCAGAAATGAAAACATGTGAAGGTATAATCTAGAAGTTAGGCAATGTTTAAAGATTTCAAAGTGAACCTCATACTTTCTTAGCATACATATTTAAAAAATTTATTTATTAACTATGTGTGCATACGAGGGGGCATGTGTGCTATGATGTGTGTGTGTGTGTGTGTGTGTGTGTGTGTGTAGATCAGAGAACAACTTTATCAGTTTGATTCTCTCCTTTCACCTTTACATGGGTTCTGGGGATTGAGCTCAGGTTACCAGGCTTGCATGATAAGGACTTCTATCCTTGGAGCCTTGTCTGTGGCCCTCATACCACATGATTGTTTTAACATTATATCTCATAGACACACCAAAGAAAAATATAACAGGTGCTAAAAATACTTGAAAATACTATTTTTGTCTGGTTTGTTTGTCTACCACTTTGCACACCAGGGTGTTTTATGTGGAAAAACTGGTACAAGTGAAAACTTGGTTAGTTTTCTGACTTCGTGCTTAGAGATCCAAATTCTCTCTGTGGTAGTACAAATATGAGTTTTAGTAGGCTAATCTCCGAGGCATCGGAGATGCCTAGGGAAAATCATCTACAGAGGAACTGAAGCTGAGGACCATCTGATTCGCATTATTAGTACTTTCCATGTAACAATTCTACACATTGTTATCATTAGCAACACTGTTTCAATCACCGATATCAGCAAGTTCAGAAGAGATCATTTCGGAATTGTCTCTTGTAGACTGTGATCAAGAGGAAACAGTACAAGGCTGGGTTTTCCTTTAGTGTCGCTTCTGACGTTTCTAAATAGACTCATTTTCTGTGGTTTCATGTGACCTGTTACATGTGTCACTGAACAGCAAGGAGGCCTGTCTCTCATTAGCACTTCCGCTAGTACTTGAGAAAAATATTCCGAAAGGAAAAAAAAAAAGAGTCCAGTCCTCCTTCCTTGAATTTGAAAGCATTTGATTTTTTTTTTTTGAGAATTTTGGTGAACACCATCTCTAATTTTAGCTGCACACTCCCCACAGATGATATAACGAACACTCTATCTGACTCAAAACATGCTTCTCTTTGATCCTAAAAATGGTTTTTGATTAAAAAATTGGCTCTCTATTATGTTTAGGGTGAGATAGGATTTAGCTGCGTGTGGGGGAAGGAAACGGATCTATAAAAGACAGAACAAAAGAGTAGGTTCGAGAGAAATCTGTTACTTGAAAGAATTGTATTTTACTTTGGAGGAACATTTATTAATTGTACATATACCATAGTTGATCAGCTCATGCTGTGTGCATGTTATGGAAATGGCAGATTGAAATCCATTACTCATTTTTTCTACTTTCTTTTTTTAAAAAGATGATTATTATTATTTACATCCCAACTGCAGTTTCCCCTCCCTCCTCTCCTCCTAGTCCCTCTCCAACACCTCCATTCTGCCCCACCCTCCATATCAATTCCTGTTTCTACTCTGACAAGGACAGGCCTCCCATGGATATCAACCAAACATGGTATATCAAGTTGCTGTAAGACTAGGCAATGCCCCTCATATTAAGGCTGAGCAAGGCAACCCAGTATGAGGAATAGGGACCCAAAAGCCAGCAAAAGAGTCAGAGACCACCCCTGCTCCCACTGTTAGGAGTCCCACAAGAAGACCAAGTTACACAACTGTAACATGTATGCAGAGAGCCTAGGTCAAACCCATGCAGGCTCCCTGGTTGTCAGTTCAGTCTCTCTGAGCTCCTATGAGCTCGATTAGTTGATTCTGTGGATTTTTTTGTTGTCCTCGACTCCTCTGGCTCCTACAATCCTCTCTCCCCCTCTTCTCCAGTTTTCCTGAGCTCTGCCTAATGTTTGGCTGTGGGTCTCTGAATCTGTTTCCATCAGTTGCTGGATGAAGCCTCTCTGATGACAATTGGACTAGGCACCAACCAACTGACAAATTGTCAGTTGAAGGTGATGTGGCTGGGTTGGTGTCCTAATCCCTCCACTGAAAGTCTTGCTTGGTTACAGGAGGTGGCCAGTTCAGGCTCCATATCCCTCATCACTTGGAGTCTTAGCTAGGGTCACCCATGTAGATTACGGGGAGTTTCCATTACTCTAGGTCTCTGGCTCATCCCCGAGGTGCCCCCAACCCCAACTACAGTCGTCTCTTTGGCTGCTCTCTCCCTCCATCCTCCCCCACATGAACCCTCCTGTTCCCATCCCCCACCCCCTCCACCAGCGATGTCTATTCTCTTTCCCCTTCCCAGGGAGAGTCATGCATACCTCCTCGAGCTCCCCTTGTTACTTAGCTTCTCTGGGTCTATGGATTGTAGCATGGTTATCCTTTACTTGACAGCTAACATCCACTTACTCTTTCCCTTTTCTTCCATCATCAAAGATGTTCCTTAACTTGTCTTAGTTTGGTTTTCTATTGCTGTGGTGAAACACCATGATCAAAAAGCAAGTTAGAGAGGAAAGGGTTTATTTGGCTTATACTTCCACATCGATTTTCATCATTAAAGGAAGTCAGGACAGGAACTCACACAGAGCAGGAACCTAGAGGCAGAAGCTGATGCAGAGGTCACGGAAGGGTGCTGCTTACTGGCTTCCTCAGTCTGCTTTTTTATAAACCCAGGACCACCAGCCCAGGGATAGCCCCACCCACAATGGACTGGGCCCTCCTCCATCAATTACTAATTAAGAAGATGCCTTACAGCTGGATCTTATGGAGGCATTTTCTTAATTGAGGTTTCCTCCTTTCAGATAACTCCAGCTTGTATCAAGATGACATAAGCCAGCATAGCATCCACTGGTGCCTCTCTACTAGGGTGAGCCATTTGGGGTGAGATAGTTATTTTCATCCTATATGCTGAGGGACAGCCATTCTAGAGCAGGCATGAAGATATTTCAGCTGTGAAAGTCAGCAGCACTCCCATGCTTAAAATTACTCATTGAGTCAGACATAGTGGTATGAACCTGCAATCCCACCCCTTGGGGGGCTGAGACAGGAGGATAAAGAATGAAGGGATCCTGGCCTACATAGTGAGACCTGTTCTAAACAAATGAGTAAGAACAACGAGAAGTCGACCGGGTCTACTATTCTGGCCCCTCCCTCTCTGCCCAGTGAAGTAAACACACAACATTTCCTGCTGCAGGGTTATGAAGACACAGAAGAAGCGGGAGAGGAGCCATCCTTGTTTTTGTCTTTAACAGTGAATCTAGTGAATGGAGAGGAGATTAAGTGACGAATCTATAAGCTGGGAAGACTATTGTAAGAGAACATTTGTGGGCCTTCCATAGGACGAGAGTAGGGACAGACAGCAGGAGGAGACACCATTTGCTGAGAGTCAAGGGGAGACTCGGCAGGGTTAGGCTAGACCACGAGAAAGGAAAAGAGAAAGCGTGGGTGGTCACTAAGGGCCCCACTTGAGCGAGAAGCTGAGGTGTATTCCAGTAGGTTATAGAATCAGCCTAGGTGCTCACCAGCGGATGGACGAATCCAGAAAATGTGCTGTGTATACACAGTGGAGTGTTGGTCAGTTACAGGAAGGACAGGGTTATGTGATTTTTTTAGGAAAACGATGGAACATGTTAAGTGACATAAGTTGAACTCAAAGAGACAAATATTGCTTCTTTCACGTATGGAATATTAGAAATGAAAGTAGAGAGGAGAGGGGATGAGCAGCAGAGGAGGGGAACAAGAGAAGGCTGCAGTGACTTGATAAAAATAGTAGTATGTATATATGAAAACAGCACAACAAGTAACATTACTTGTACAGTCAATAAAACATAGATTTCAAGAGAAAGTCTGTAAGGATCTCCCCATTGCTCTAAGTTGTCAAAAGGTTCCATGTGGATGGAGAGGGGCCCAGGTGACGGGCCGCTGCAAGTCCTAGTTGTCGGCACATTTGTGTTCAATAAAAGCTTCTGTCCTTTTTGGCTGAGCATTTGGGATAAGGTGTACTTATAAATCGAATCAAGTATTTCCCCAGGTCCATGTGTTCAGAGAGGCTGGACCTGAACATGCTGATGGAAATAGCATTATTATGGGAACAGAAAAAAAAAAATTGAAAACCCTTCACTTCCTCCTAGTGATTATCCCTGTGCCGAGCACCATAAACCACATTAGC